CCCCCCCCGCCCCGCCTCGCCCCTCCCCCCCATGCAGGCAGCCCGCCCCTTCTGTCACTCAGTGACTGAAAACGCGCTCACCGCCCATTTCGCAGCCCCGTCGTGAATTGGTCGTGTGTTGCGTGCGAGTGTGCAAAAGTGATCACCTTGCTACTCCGACGGTGTGTAGCTGTGCAAAAGTGATCTGCCCTATTACATATACCCACCTACAAACCTTACCCGGAACACACGTCGGATTGTGAAAGAGACTCTGTGTGTCAGGAGGCAGGAGCTAACCCGAAACAACACATGGACAGCGCCGTGATGTGATGTGTGTAGCTGGCCCCCGAGAGACATACATGAAGAACCATAGACACACGCAGATGAAAGCGGTGCGCACGCATGCATGCATGCATGTTAAATAACATGGACATGCAGGGAGGAAGAGGGAGGGAGGGAGGAGGGGATCGAGAAATCGAGAAAAGGAGAAGGATCGATTGAGAAAGCGGGAGAGCCCTAGCCCTCCGTTTCTCTCTCTTCGCTTCTCTTCTTTTGGTCGGTCGGTCTACATCGGTCGGTCCTAAATGGTTTCACTCACTGTCAATCACTGACTGACTTGCGATTCACCCACCCCCCCACTCAACACTCCCCCAGGCACCGCACCCTTACCCACCAACCAATCAACGGCAAGCAAGAAAGGCGCCGCGAGGCAGCTGCTGCCACACACATGACCTGTCTATCTTCTGTCCATCCATCCAGGAGATCCATCCATCCATCCATCTCATGTCTTGGTCAAGACAGACAGGTGAGTGAGATGTACCGCTCAGTGCGGTACTTTCAAACACGGCAGCCAGCAAGGGAAGGCAGGTGACACGAACTCATTGCATCAATCAATGGCAGCCACTCGCACTCACATGATATAACAAACAACATCACACCACTAGCTGAGCAGAGAGGAGTTGCTCACCGACCCACCGGCCCACCGACCGATGTAAACTGCACGCCGCGCCTCATCCCTCCATCCCTCCCTCCCTGCAACATCTCGCGTACATCCAGCCATATAAACCAAATATACACTTCCCGCCACCCCATCCCCTCCAAGCCAACCATCGACTCATCCCTCGCCCAATCGTTCAAACCAGACAGGCGAAGTAAATGAAAACCACTCGTCCGTCATCTTCCCCCCCCCCCCCCCCC